TTACATAATCACTTTATTATAATTGAATTAACCAATTAGTGGTAATCAGTAAAAGATGTAAATTATGAATTAAATAATTCTTTATTAATCCTCTTTTCAAAAAAGAAACTTAAATGAATTCATACACAATATACTTTTGTTTAACATTAACACAATTTAAAGCTCCATTCTTGTTGTATGTAATATGGTGGTGAGAAAAATACAACAAAGTCTAAGTTTTTATCTTGGTATCCAACATTCATTCTTATTTTATTAATCTTACAGTTAATACCCTTAAAATGTATGAAGTGAATATCCTTAATGTGTATCACGCCAGGTTCCTTAATTATTGAAATTTCAATTTTTTATGCAATCTGTTTATTCATTCCTTTTATGGAACACATAAGAATGTCACGTGGAATAGAAATTGATTCATGAATGTAATAAGATATAATCGAACGCAGAACTGAAACAATTTTTTGAAGAATAGAAGGTAGAACAATTGCTTATTCTTGAAGAATTGAAGAAACAAATGAAACTAATTATTGGAGAATCGAACATAGAATTGAAACTGGTTCTTAAAGAATATAATACAAAAGAATGGATTGTAGAAGATCGAGAATGTCTATGACAAGAATGTTATTTTTATAACAATAAATATATGTATTGTATTTTTTTATATAAATATGTCAATCATTGTATCAAAAATGGATAAATTTTAAAAAGTAAAACTTTATTCTTTCAATAATTTCATTCTCATTTACACATGTACAAAAATTATTAAAGAATGCTTATAATAATTGGTAGTTTGAATTTATGATTAACTGATTGTCGATTCTTAAAATAATACAATATGGTCTTAATATGATTAATTTATATGACTTCGTATTCTTTAAAAATGTTAACTATAAAAAGATCTTTTAATTGAAATCATATTCTTTAAGAATGAAAACAAAATATAAGAGAACGAACTTGATGATTAACTTATATGAATTCGTATTCTTTAAAAAATTTAAAATAAAAAGATCTCTTAAGTGAAATCGTATTTTTTAAGAATTAACAATGAAAACAAAATATATGAGAATGAAATGGAACGTGTTGAATGAATTCGTATTCTCAGAAAATCAAATTTAGTTTGAATGTAATTCATAAAATCTGAAATTTGAAGTGATTTTTATTACTAAAATTGAATTAATTGCTAGGTAATTTTGATTTCTCTATCTTAATAAAATATCATATTTGCATTTATGATTAACTAAAATGTAATTATTTAGTACATGTCATCGCATGTTAACAACATGTAGCTTAAGATTATGACAGTTAATTCTTTTAATACGATGGTCAGAATTTAGTCGAACATTCACACAATATTTGTGTTTCATATTTGATCATTATATATATATATATATATATATATATATATATATATATATATATATATATATATATATATAGACACACACACACACATACATACATACTAGCCATTTACCCGTCAGCGCGGGTGTGAATAATTTCTTTTAAAAATTAGTTTCTAGAGGCAATTATATTTTTACGCAAATAGTTTTTACATCTGAAGAATTATACATAAGAGTCATGTTAGTAGAGACGAAATCAATTAGTTTCTTTTCGGCCAACAATAATTAGCTCTAATTTAGTGATACAGTTTCTTTACGACAAACATTGTATTTTTTAATGTATTCATTGTTTTTTGTATGTTGGATTCGTGTTTTCATATGCGATCTGTTGTGTCAAATTTTAGATCTACGGTTTTTTAGGGTTTGTGGAGGGATGGGAATCTACCGACCGCCAACATTCCAAACTAAAATTGTAGCTTCTTGATAAGCTCTCCAAAATGTGATGTTATAATTGGTTAGGTAAAAAAAAACTGAAAGTGAAAAGTTAAAATTATACTATATATTAAATTTATCTGCTCTTAGCTACAGTATTTTCTGCACCCTTTTGTCAAAATGCACCCTTCTAATATGGTGTTCTTGCTTTTGGGGTTTTTGCACCTTTTTAATTCGTTTCTTATGCATTTTGCCTTATCTATTTGTTTTTTTTTTCAGCTCTCCTTGCTGACGCCTTATTTTATATTATACGTGTCTTCTTCCTGGCTTCTACTTTCCACGTGGTTCTTTTTTGCTTCTTTCCCTTTCTTCTTCGATGAGCCTTCACCGACTTCCCTTTTCCTATGTCGTTCTTTTCTTTCCCAGGTAATCTCTTTCCCTTCTTTTTCTATTTTCTTTACATTGTCCTCCGTTTTTTACGTACGTCTTTTGTAATGGATGTTCGGGCAAAGTGGCCAGCTGCATCTTCTTCTTCCTCCTTTGCTCCTCGGTCTTGCAGGTCTCAACATCTCGATTTCTTTTTTGGCCTTCCTCAATATGTTGATTCTGGTGACTGCAGTTGTGTTTGTGAATTCTGTGGTGCCTATTTCTGGTATGTTGAAAGGGTTGCTAAGTTTTCGACACCTACTCATCCGAGGTATAGTCATTGTTGTTGGGATGGAGGTGTTGTTCTTCCATATCCTCCTGCATTTGACCCCAATTTCGTAGCCCTTTATCAAAATGTAAGTTTAATAAAGGATATTAGGGCATATAACAGCATGTTTTCCATGACTTCTTTTGGGGCGAATGTAGATCACACTGTTAATGAAGATCGTGGTCCTTATGTTTTTAAGATATCTGGGCAGATTTCTCATACGATTGGATCACTATCTCCGGATCCTGTAAAGGGTCTGAGGTTTCTTCAGCTCTATCTATTTGACACATAGCACGAAGTTCAAAATAGATTGAAGGTGATTGATGGTCCAAGGAAGAGGGATTTAGATGGTAATATTGTCCATTTTCTTGTAGGGTTCTTGGGGGCTAATAATGAATACGTACGAACATTTAAAATTGCTAAGATTATGGCGGATGAATGTAATCTAGACTTCTATGTAGTCCGTCTATTTAACAATGTGCCTGATCGTACATACGGGTTGCCCTCTCCTGGATCTTTAGGTTGTATAGTAACTGGTGATGATGCAACCTACACCACGTATGACATTGTTGTGTTTTCCCACTGGGGTCAACCTAAACGGATTAGTAAGCTTCATCCAAGTTATATGCCCTTGCAATACCCGCTATTGTTTCCATATGGTGAGGAAGGATGGTCTCCCCGTTTGAAGATGGGTAATCGGAGAGGAGCTACTGCAAAAAACCTTAATGTTAACATGTATTACACTTATTATATTCATGCTCGACGGCATATCTGGTCCCCCACACTTAATGCGTCTAGACTATTCCAACAATATTTAGTAGATGCGTACACGTGTATTGAAGAGAGCCGTCTTGAGTACATAACCAAACATCAGTCTAATCTTCGGAGCGATTATGTTAGTGGCCTGTATGACGCTCTATCAAAAGGAGACAGAGACACGCGTACTGTTGGGAAGCATGTTTTCTTACCTGCATCATTTACTGGTGGGCCTCGGTTTATGTATAGTCATTATCAGGACGCACTTTCGATTTGCAGAGTCTATGGGAATCCACAGTACTTCATTACATTTACCTGTAATGTAAAACGGCCTGAAATTACCCGCTATATGGAAACACATCGCCAAAGAGATGTTCATAGTCGGGCGGATATCATTGCTAGAATCTTCCACATAAAGGTCCATGAATTCATAGACTTTCTTAAGGCGGATAAACCTTTTGGAGCTGTCGATGCGTGTACGTTTTCTTTTTCTTTTGTATTGTATATGCCTTCTTTGTTTAACAACCCTTTTCTGCGGTTTTTGTTAACCGTTCTTATGTTTACCATAACAATTTACTTCAGCTTTTAAAAGTTTCCTATATCACCCCTCTTGGTTTTTGGGTTATTTTAAACACTGCCAGATTTCAGGTTTTTGTTCATAAGATTTAACACCTTCTTTTTTATAGAAAGTTCTAAAGCCTTCAGATACCACAGATGTATAGTCCATTCCCTGCTTTCCCATTTTGGTTAATCATCTATTTTCTGCATTTTTCATTAATGCTTCTTATGTATTTCTTTATCTGCTCCTGTGTCTGCTGTCCCATTTTTAATATTAGCTTTACGACGACCCCTAGATTCTCTTTTGAAGTCTCTATATAAGGTGAAAACTTATTACATTTAATGGACAACTTCTTACAGCACAGAGACCAGAATTAAAAGTATGGATTTCAAAAAGATTCCATTAACAGTAGTAGACTACATTTATACTAAATGTACAATTTTTATACCTATATACTTTTCTACTAAATATGCCTCTCTGCTAAGAATTTTAACTGTATCTCATATGTGACTGCATGTATGTCTTCTTTTCATTTCTATTTTATATCCCCTTTTGTATAACAACCGTTTTATGCTGTTTTTTCTACCCGTTCTTATGTTTACCATAATAATTTACTTCAGCTTTTAAAAGTTTCCCATATTACCCCTCTTCGTTTTTGGGTCCTTTTAAACATTGCCACATTTCCATTTTGGTTAATCATCTCTTTTCTGCAATTTTCATTAATGCTTCATATGTATTTCCTTATCTGGCCTTGTGTCTGCTGTCCCATTTTTAATATTAGCTTTACAATAACCCCTGGATTCTCTTTTGAAATCTCCATGTAAGATGAATTTTTTTTACATTTAATCTACACCTTCTTTCAGCACATAGGCCAGAATTAAAAGTATGAATTTCAAAAAGATTACATTAACAATAATAAACTACATTTATACTAAATGGACAATTTTTATACCTACAACCTTAACTGATAAAAATTTATCACCATTTATCCATATACATTGTAAATAAATAATCAATAATAATATTTATTATGTTTAGAAGAAGAGTTACTATTATCCTGTTCACATATCCTAATGTTTTTTAAATTGAGCTTTCAAAAATTTCCCATTTTACCCCTCAACAGATTTTTCCTGTTCACATATCCTAACGTTTTCATATGTATTTCCTTATCTGCCCTTGTGTCTGCTGTTCCATTTTTAATATTAGCTTTACAATAACCCCTGGATTCTCTTTTGAAGTCTCCGTGTAAGATGAAAATTTTTTACATTTAATCTACACCTTCTTTCAGCACATAGGCCAGAATTAAAAGTATGAATTTCAAAAAGATTACATTAACAATAATAGACTACATTTATACTAAATGGACAATTTTTATACCTATAGCCTTAACTGATAAAAATTTATCACCATTTCTTCATATACATTGTAAATACATAATCAATAATAATATTTATTATGTTTAGAATAAGAGTTACTATTATCCTGTTCACATATCCTAACGTTTTTTAAATTGGGCTTTCAAAACACTCCCATTTTACCCCTCAACAGATTTTTCCTTTTAGTTGTTTATCTCATTTGGATTATTGCCTGCTTTGCCTTTTCTTTAAACCATTTATTCCTCCTTTCTATTCTACTCATGAAAAAATTTTAAATATGAAAACACTCTATTGAAAATATCTACTGACGAAAATTCATCACCATTTATGTATGTACGTTGTAAATACATTATCAATAACAATAATTTCTATGTTTAGAATAAGATTTACCATTATCCTGTTCACATACCCAAACCTTTTTTAAATTAGACTGTCAAAACTTTCCTACTTTACCCCTCAATAGATTTTTATTTTTACTTTTTTTTATCTCATTTGGATTCTTCCCAACTGTGCCTTTCCTTTAAACCATTTACTCCTCATTTTTCTTCTATTGAAAATATGGACAAACTAATTTATTAAAACTATAAATCTTCTGAGTATTAAACTGTGCTACTGATGAAAGATTTTTAAATATGAAAACCACATCTATCTTTTCCTTAAATCAATTATTCATTAAAATTTTTTCTATCCTGATGTTACATCTTTATTTTGTTTTATTTAACTCACTTATCTTCTTTTTTTCTGTGTGTATGTCTATTTTTTTTTAGTATAATACTTTTTGTCAACTCACCAACTGAAAACTCTAAGCATACATTTTTTTTGTCACATTTTTCTCATAACCTTCACTTTCTGCTCAAAATACATTTCTTCCACATCTAAATTTTGTTGCTGCTTATTTTACCCGTACACAACTACAACATCTGTTTAACATACAATTTATTTTTCTTTTTTTTTTTCATCATCTATGTATATTCTTCATACGTTACCTTTTGACAATGCAGATTTGTACACCATTGAATTCCAAAAGAAAGGCCTTCCCCATTGCCATACTCTACTTTGGGTAAAGACAGCTGACAGAATAAGAACCACAGCTGATGTTGATACATATATCACAGCGGATCTGCCAGATCCTGTCACAGATTCGGAACTGTATGAGACAATAACTAGCTGTATGATATACGTCCCGTGTGGACTCCTCAACCTAAAAGCTACATGTATGAAAGATGGTAAATGCAGCAAGCGTTTCCTAAGCCCTTTCTTGATGCCACAGTGTTTGACACAGAACGATACGTTCGTTACAAACGTAACGTATCTGCGCACCATATAAATCAACATGGACAACTCATAGACAACGGATACATTATGCCTTACAATAGAAGACTTTCATCACGGTTCCGCGCACACATCAACGTTGAATATTGTGGATGGAACATGATGATAAAATACCTATTCAAATACATCTCGAAAGGAGCAGACCATGTTAGATACACAATCCAAAAAGCAGAACTACCCGATGAATCCACCTCTGTCACAATCTCTGGTAATCAGGACGCACCGCAGAATCCTAAAGTTCGATATGTGGACGAGGTGAAGAATTTCCTAGATGGTCGTTACATATGTCCACACGAAGCAGCATGGCGCATTCTAAACTTTCACATACACCATCGGCATCCGCCTGTTCAGGTTCTCTCTATACACGAAAAAAACATGCAACAACTACTGTTTAAGGAAGACTCGACAATACCTGAAGTGCTCTCGAACCCATATAACACCATCACAACTCTTATAGGGTGGTTTCGCAGCAATACAAGAGATCCAACAGGCTGTCACCTTACCTATCTAGAATACCCAAAAGCTTATAAATGGGAAAAGTCTTTCAAGTCGTGGAGCCCTCGGGTTGATGAGTCATCAAAGATGATAGGGCGGCTTGTCTTTGTCCATCCTACGTCAGGCGAATTATTTTATCTACATATGTTGCTTTGTCACCAAAAGGGTTGCACGTCTTTCTAAGACTTACGGACTGTCTCCGGTAGCATTTACCCAACCTTCAGAGCTGCTTGCAACGCACTAAACCTAATAGGCGACGACGCCGAATGGCTCACCGCATTCACTAAAGCATCCATCTGGGCAACTTCGCCACAACTTCGCTCTCTTTTCTGCCAACTTTTGCTTTTCTGCGAAGTTAGCAACCCGCAAACCCTGTGGGAATTCGCGTGTGAAAAAATGAAGGATGACTACTTACACACAATGAAAAGGGAAATGCCAGATAAGGATGTTGCCTCTTTTACGGACTTCATCCAGCAACAACTATTAAACAATCTAGATCACACCCTCCGTTCTTCCGTCCCATCTAAATCAATGGCTGTTTTCAGTCTCCTAGTTCCTTCAAATAAATTCGATGGTGTTTTACAAAATCGAATTCTGCTTGAAGAAATGAGTTATCACTCATTGTGTTGGATGAAGCACCTATGAGTGACAGAAGATGTTTCAAATTTCTGGACCGTTCACTTAGAGATGTATTAAATTGTGATGACCAGCTGTTTGGCGGCATATCTGTTCTTCTTGGTGGTGACTTCCGGCAAGCATTTCCCGTCCTACCAAAATCTACACGATCAGAGACTATTAGCTAAATTTACCGAGTTCATACCTATGGCGGTTCTTCAAAATCTATTTACTACGTAGGAACATGAGAGTTGACTCATCCGAAATAACCACTAATGGTTCGATGTCTGCATCAGCTTTTGCAACATGGTTGCTGCGCATCGGAGACGGAGTCATTGGTGTACCAGACAAGGACGACCCACAAGACTCAAGCTTTATCGAAATTCCAGATTCTCTCCTGATAAAACCAGGACCTGAGTCTTTGAAAACCCTAATACACTTTTTTTATGGAGACACCACACTTACAACCCCAACCGCGGTTGACCTTTCGGTGAAAGCAATTGTGTCACCTACGAATTATACAGCTGATGACATAAATGAACAGATCCTAAGGATGGTTACATCAGACGGAAGAACGTATAACAGTTTAGATACAATCCAACCAAATGGAAAATATACGTCAGATTTCGAAGGCCTATATCCGATTGAATACCTAAACCACCTAACCTTTCCAAGAATACCCCCGCATGAACTGAAACTTAAAATACATTGTCCAATAATGTTGTTACGAAACATCAACCAAAAACAAGGCTTATGTAATGGCACACGTATGATAGTTTCCCAGTTGCTACCAAACGTAATTGAAGCAAGTATCATGACTGGAACTTGCATGGGAAAACGTGTATACATACCACGTATAAAGTTTATACATAAATCACCAGACACACCGTTCACTTTCTCACGAAAACAGTTCCCATTGAAAGTATGCTATGCAATGACCATCAATAAGAGCCAAGGACAATCTTTGCATAGAATTGGAGTGTACTTACCACAACCCGTCTTTTCACACGGTCAACTTTATGTCGCCCTTTCCCGAGCAACGTCGCCAGATTTGATAAAAATACTCATACAAACTAACAGCCCAATACAAGAGAATCACACAAAAAACGTCGTTTTTAAAGATCTATTGCAGAAAGTTGCTACAACCGAGGTCTATCGTATCACTGCCAACCATCTTTCCCATATTTGCATACCGTTCCTCCACCATGATCGAAATTTTCTTTCTCTAACTTATTATCATTGTTATTATTTTTTCCCATCTTTCAAACGTCATTTATTATTATTATTATTATTTCCCATCAATCAAATGTCACACATTTCAATCATCTTTTTTACACATTGCACCTTATTCACATACGAACATAGCACTAATTCCCGTACATTTGTTGCAAGTAGACACTTGACATCATCGATGACCAACATCTCCAACCTTAAGACAGACGGGATCGGGGGTCCCTTACAAGTTAGGATACTACGGAAGTGGAAACATGATGTCCGACGCTATGAAACTTGGTACCTAGGTGTCAACAAATTTGTAAGTTGTTTCCAAATAAATCTATGGAAAATTTTATTTAATTTTCATACACTAACGACTCTACATTTCAATACCAGATGAGCACTCTTTAATTCTTACAAACTACAACTTCATTCTCCTACTCTTAACCCAAAATAATATCATTACATTTTTTCCCAAATAACAAAAATCTTATATTTGATTCATGTTTTGTTTTTATAGGGCGATGCCATACAGATTCTTGGCCAACGAACCAACCAGAGTTATATCGAATCTGTACTAAACGTCCTGGAATGTTACACAATATCAGATTACAGCTGCCCGAAGCTAGACAAATATCAAAAATTCCTTGAAAACGACTTCTACATTGACGTTGGACTGATGTCTGTGATTGAACACATTTCAGACACAGTAAGTATACCCAAAACTTGGTTCTGTTTCCTCACGAAAACAAATCTTATTGAACTCGGAGAAACACCCCCTACTACCCAGGTACTTCTCTCAACCCTCCACGTTATACAATATCTTTCTCTCATACGTTTACTTTTTACTTCTTTTCATACTATATCGGTGTACTATCGAAAATCAGAGACTACACGAAAATAGGTGGAGAATCATTCATCCTGCTTATACTAACAGACGAAAGGTATTTATCACAACTAACAAAATTCAATAACCATTACTCTTATATGGAACTAATACGAAACAACAATTTCAATGTATCAGTGGCAGTGAAATCGCAATCAATCTATGGAAGGACTGTATAGGAAATCCACAAAAGTTCGACCGTACCTCCCTACATCCACCACCCGCAACAACTGTGGTTACAGTCACCAACCTAAAACCGTCCATCTCAAACGGTATTATACCATACATACCATCATACACATACTGTCAACAACTATCAGATTGTCCCTGGTCATATATTTAATATTGAAATGATTTATGTACATGAGCACTACGTCACGGCTCATCACATGCCACACACATCTATGTCAACCCCGATATACCAGAAACAATATCTCTTATAATCCTGTAACCCATAGATATTATACACACAAATTACATACATCACATTCAATACTCTATACTAATAAATCTATCACATCAGCTTTACAGGACCCTCACGACCGCTACCACCACTACCAGGAACACTCACTACTCTATACGAGATGAAGTCAAAAAACAGATCAGAACTCCTGGTAAATCAAACTACTGCTACTCTATCCACATACACTAATCACCTCACCCGTTTCCATCAAACTACAGGACAAAACCTTCCTTGTGCGTGCATCTATTAAAGAGTTTGTCTACCAAAACAGTTGGTACCAAACCACCTGCCCAAATTGCAAAGATCTGATCTTTAGAAGAGGCGAAAATTGGTTCTGCAGCGCTCATGGACATATCGACAAACCAAACTACACGTAATCATCATTCAATTACATAATATACTTAATTACCCTACATACACAATATTAATGAATATGTGACGTTAATAGGTACAAACTGTCCATAATCGTTAGCGATGCGACCGACACCATCACCGCAACCATGTCAGAGACCTCATGTCGGAAACTCCTAAAATCAACTCTTGACTACTTCCTATCCAATACCCCGCTCACAGATGGACGTATTCTACCTCAAGCCATTACAAATCACAAAGAAGAACCAAAAAAATGTCCATCCAAATGCTCAGAGGATCATCTCCAGAAAACATACGTTTCATAATAATAGACCACGAGACATTAACAACCACGGTCGACATGTCTATCCCGACAACACCGAATAGCAAGAAAGCAACAAAACGACACATCACCGGAGCCATCTACAGCTGTTCAAAACATCGCACGGTCCTTATCCTATGACCCTTCAGGTACATACGCATTCACATACAAAAAAACTTACATACATATGTTAAAACACCCTACTGACACTTCGTGAACACAACACAGGTTCCACACCTGAAAATATTCCAAAGCAGTCCAACAAATAACAACCAGGATGCATAATCAACATAATCACCCTCTTCCAGCTCTACTAATGTCTCTATGTTTAGTGTTACAACAATAACATCATAACACCCTCTTCTCTTCGATATGAATGATGTTATTGCAATACTGTTTCCGTCTCATATATCCGAATTTTCGGTTGTTCTAATTCTCTTAGTTCACACTTTCAGATTCCGATACTTTTTTAACACCGGTTATTTAACCCATTCAATTTCGCAACGATAACGCACACACATTACAAACAGCTTCAAACATACACCCTTACATGTCCAAAGTAATAAAAGTTAGTAACAACCACACACGTCAAATAATAAATATATAAAAGAATTCTCTGACAAAACAATCCAAATAACCACTTTATCATTATATACGTTATACCTTACCTACACCCGTTGTCTAAACAATCAACATTCAAAATATAAACAAAATAATATAAAAAAATGGAGAAAATCAGAAAAATCAACGCTTGATTTATATAAAAAATAGAAGACTAACCGTTCACATTACAACTTATACACACATTTACAACCAACATTAAATGGAATATCTAACCCTATACCCTAAAGCTACCAAAAAAACAACTCAACTTTCATTAGAGCTGCCGCAACCATCCCATTTTCATTACTTCCCAGGTGATAATTAAATACCCCATATTTACTGCAACTCAACTACCACCTGTTGACCCTATAAAATGAATCCAAGATCAGTCGCCATTAAACCATAAAGCATACAACCACCATGGAAACCATCATGCAAAAACTCATTGGCTATCTCCGGATGATGAAGACCTCCTTAGCCAACCTCCAACAAACATACACAACAGTCAACACAGACATGCAAACACTATTACACGACGTTCCAGAAGAACTGCCATACAAGGAGCTCACAGTCGCTACCCACGTCATTGCCGACCTTGACAACATAACCGTGCTAATGCTCGATATGTTCGGGATGATGCAGGAAAACATTTCGGAAGCAATCGATGTGTGTAACAAAATCCCGCACAACCATCAGACACCGTGACATACCAGCACCACTCTCTTCTGCAACATCAACCTCTTTTGCATCAGCTTCTACGAAGTAAAACCATGTAATAACGTTGTAATGAAGATATCTTTTGTATCTGCTTATGTAATCTAAAATGATGTAATGACTATGTAATGAAAAAAAATCCTTTCGTACACATTCTGTGACACATCTCATACATCCACTATAAACATAAAAACAGTCGATCCATCCAGCATAAACACGATAAAAAAAAATTATGCCCTTAATCCAAAAAAATCAAACCCCCGCGTAGCGGGGTCACTTTCTAGTTGATTAATTAAAAAAAACTGAAATTAGAATTCTATAATCGATTATATTTTTAAAACACAATTTTGTTGTTTTTTGGTGGGGATTTCATTTTAACTAGTGGAGCATAGTTTCCTTCCAATGATCAATTTCAATTCAACTATTGGATATTTGTTATATAACAAAAACACGAATTGTATTGTAAGTACATACTTGGCTTATTGTCTATTTTTGGAACCATTTTGATGTAAACCATAAGTTTATATTTTGTATTAGATCCAATTATAAATCGTTAAACGAATGCACGTCAAATTGATCAAAATTTAATTCAATTGTTTCATTTCCAAAACTTGTCATATTACAAAGACATGATTGTATGTAATTATATATACTTGATTTAGTGTCTATTGTGAAACCTATTAGATATAAACCATATGTTTATATTTTGTATAAGATCCAATTATAAATAATAAAAAAAAATTGCACTAATTATTTTAATTCTTGCTAAATAACAAAATTGAACCAAAAACTTGTGTTTTATCTAACCAAAACATGAACAATCGATAACTAACTTTTAATCAACAAATGATTAAATCTAATGGGTCCAGGAACCCGATCAATAATCGTTTAGCAAATAAAATAAAAACATAAAATTATAAATCTGAAAATTATTAAAAAAACATAAACATTGATTACCACAAACAAATTTTGATATATACATGTTTAATGATGCTTTGGAATTGATACTTTCGTAATATAGACGGTTCAATAATTAACACTCAAGAAATTATTATTCAAAAATCGGTGCTTTCGTATTCAATGAAAATTAAATTTCCCCATAAAATATGTCAACATTCATCCATCCAGTAACTAAGTTTTATAGTATATAATTATAATTGAGTTTTAAAATCGATACAAAAAATCAAAAAGGATAGTTGGTTTTTCATGAATTTCAAGAAAAATATAAAAATAAATAGTTAATGTGATGTAACTACAATAAAAAGTAATAAAAAGAAAACTAATTGTGAGCTTCTCGTGATCGATCGTTAAAGACTCGACACATTATATCAGTCAAAATTAAACATTTTCACCCATTATACTCGACTAAGTAACCTTTGACTTTCCTTCCGAATCTAGAAGAAGACTTTCAAGCTACATTTTTATAAGAAAGAGTGTTAGCAGGGAATGAGAACTCAATCATACAAATTTTCACATTCAAATAAACCATTTTCACAAGAAAGATTGTTAGCCCGGTGTGAAGGAATGAAAATCACAAAGAATTTTAAGAAACTATGGGAAATATGAGAGAGAGAGAGAGAGAGAGAGAGAGAGAGAGAGAGAGAGAGAGAGAGAGAGAGAGAGAGAGAGAGAGAGCATTTACTATGCAACATGAAGAAAATGGTTGTGCTATGGCAGATTTATAGCTTCGAATATTCTACACAATTATAGGTGGTGAAAAAAACCTAAGAGTCCGTTCCTCTGTTTAACTTAGGATGTTAAGTGTTGTGTTAATTTAACTTACTTCCCATATGATAATCCTTATGATTTAAGCTTTAGAAAATGAGATTTCTATTTTCCTTTATTGAAAGTCGATCTTCATGATTCTCTAACCCACGTGACAAAGAGAGATTTTATAAATGAAATCATGCAAAAATATTGTAAATTAGATAAACTTCTTTTTAAGTTTAGGTTGTTGAATATGAATCTCATAATGAAAATTTATGTCAACAAATATGGACCAAAAGTGAATAATAAACCACATACCACATGGAAAAAAGAGAATTTCAAAAGATTTTTTTTTATAGTGAAAGTATGATAATATAAACCACATGGACTAAAAATAATGTAAAATTAATCATGGAACAAAAATCATACTATAATAAGCATATAATGTTATAAAATATCAAAGTAGGATGCTTTGACACTAACCACCTGATGACCAAATATCATGTAAAAATAACCATAGACTAAAAACTATGATATAAAAAACTATATGATTCTATAAATATGTCAAAAGGATCTAAATGATACCAAAATACAATACCAACCCAACATAAATTCAAGAAAAAGACAATTGAAAACTTGAACACTTGGAATCCAAGCAAGATCAATTTAGCAACTGATGACCAATGGATGAAAGCCATAAAACTATTGTAGGGTTGAGCTTAGGCAAATAAACAAATACACCAAATATACCCCTAATTTATTTTCTTTCTGGTTTTATCATTAATGGAACTTAGATGAATATCTATTATATTGCACAATCATTATTGACAACCATATATGTCTTATATTGCTTCCAATATTGTTCCTACAGAAAAACACACAATCAAAGAGTTACTAAATGCAAATCATCACTACCCATTTATATTAAAAGCGGATCATAGATGGACACTACATCAGATATTAGCAATCACGAACAAATAACCTGCATAAAAACATAAAAATTAAAAGAAAAATCATTATGTTAACTCTAAAAACTGATACAAACCTTCATGTGAATTACCAAGGTCTCATTCATAAGTGATTCTGCAAATTAAACACTATATTTATACTCCATCACCATGTTCAAACTTAAAATGTTATTATAAAGTAAATATGTGTATATTTTAGAGGAATTTCAGCGAACAGATGGTGGGCCACTACTAAGTATTCTTTTTTCTCCTCAATACCAGACACATACACATATGAGTAAAGGCCTAACCGATATTAACAAAAGGGGAGCTGTAAGGGTTACCAAATGGTTGTTAACATCTTGATAATCGGGAGTGGTGGTTGCTGGTGGCGACAATAAGCAGGGGTGATCGTTGGTGATGGATATAATGAGCATGAGTGGGGTTATGGTTATTATAAGGGAGGTTGTGAGGTGGTTGTGATGAAGTACGAAGATGGCTTTGTGGTGGAGGTTTTTAGAGACGGAGGAGGAGGAAGAGAGACGGTGATGCGGTGGGTTATATATATATATATATATATATATATATATATATATATATATATATATATATATATATATATATATATATATATATATATATATATATATATATATATATATATATATATATAGGGTTAGGTTCATTTGAGACCATTTATATTTTGTGAGACCGTGAGACGCATTTTTTTATTTTATTTTTTTTTTTTAGTTAATTCAAGTTCCGAAAATAATATTTAAGAAAAGAATTTTTAGATTTTTTCCATTTATTTTGCATTTTAAAATTATTTTTTAGAATATGTCAGTGTAATATTCTATTTAGAATATTCCACGTATTTTTCAAAAAAAAAAACGGAATTTATTTTATTTTTTTTTATATTTTTTATATTTTTTTTAGTTAATTCAAGTTTCGAAAATAATATTTAAAATTTTTTTTTTTGGATTTTTCCATTTATTTTTCATTTTAAAATTATTTTTAGATTTGATCTCACGGTCTCACAAAATTAGAATGGTCTTAAATAAACCTGAACATATATATATATATATATATATATATATATATATATATATATATATATATATATATATATATATATATATAGTAGATGAATGGTTTGTACATTTGTGGTATTAACTCCATTTATAAGGAAGGAAAACCAAAATCACAATACTTTAGGCGAGATCTTGTGATTTACGGATTCCACATTGACTCAATCAAGGATTAAAGGGCTCCGTCAAAGCCCGGTTTGAAGGAGTTATAAGTATTAGGCGATAAAATAGGAAGATTGTTGGTTTTATAGGGGTGTTATTGGGTCAAAACACTGCATAAACTAATTGTACACATCAGCAAAAACATGTTACATGCTTTTATATATATATATATATATATATATATATATATATATATATATATATATATATATATAAAGTGTGTAACCCTTAATAGTATAGGGGGCTAAAATGTAAATATGTGTGTCGTTTTGCAATCAAACGATTGCAAACCAATTATGTAACCGGCTCCTTCGAGCCTATAAATAGGGCCTTTGCCCAAATGAAATAAACAAGCGAAGTTTGAGTGTTTAAGACATGAGTTGATCTCAATTGTCTTCTCTGTTGAAATAGTTGTTCTATTTCTGAATAGCAGAGTCTTATCTAAACATATCCATATAACCATTTAATCATTCAACACAATCCAGCATCAAACTAATCCAACGCATCATTCAGGTATAATCTTTTCTTAATCTTTATTAATTCCGTCATCATGTTCAATTTGGTATCAGAGCAATTAATTCATCATCATGTCATGTTCAATTTGGTATCAGAGCTAAGTATCGTTCTTATTATGATTATGAATGTTAAATCTTTCGTTCATATGAATACATGTTCATCATGCATCATCATACATATTCTTATGAATATTCATCGTTACAAAAATTCATCGTTATTATTATAAATTCATTATTAAATCAAATACCATCCACCTACAAATGTCGGTAGAAGGTTTTTACAATTATGAATATGTACCAACTAGAAACACATTTTGTTAAAAAACCCCACCATCAACATCTTATTAAAATATAATAGTATTAAAAAACCACACCATTAATATTTTATTAAAATTTATAAATTGTAACTTTGAAAGAAAAAATAATTTTGTTTCTAAAAACTATAATTATGAGTTTTTCAAGTCTAAACACAAATAAACAAGAATTAAATTTTTTTCGTAAAACATTAAAACAGTCTAAAAAATTTCTTCTAAATTTAAAAATAGACTCGAACATATCAATAATAAATTGTATATCTAATATTGAAGCAATACATATAATAAATAATAGTATAAATTGGAAACAAGAACAAATAAAAAACCTTGAAGATAAAATAACAAAATTTGTTAGATAAGTTTTAAATAGAAAAAGCGTTAATGATAACTAATTCACTAAGAAAAAACTAAATTTTTTTTTAATATATATGGAAACTTTACAAGAAAAAATAGAAACACTAACTAAATTATTTGCAGCATTAGAAATTCCGTCTGAAATTCAAGAAAACAATATAATAGAAAATAATTCGGAAAATGATGACGCAAAAGTAATATATGATTTTTCTTCGGATGATGAAAACCCTTATATAGAGATTCACAACACAATTTTGGATTAAAACGAAAACAATCATATGTTGAAGATGATTATCAAAGTCAATACATATATGGACCACCTTCGTTAGAAGAAAATTCTTTATATAGACAAGGAATGATCAAAAATAAACAAAATAAATGGGAAAAAATACCTCCACAACATATACCTAAATTATTTACTTTTCCAACAAATTCAGATATTCTTTTTATTGATTGTGAGCAAAATCCCGAAGCAAAAATTCAAGAATGGAGTAATAAAATGGGAATTCAAATTCAACTAACTGAAGAATTAAGAAATCTACATCCAAAAAATTTTCTTAATTATATTATACATAAAACACGGGGCAATGCATATCGTTTCCTTTCATCTCTCGATGAAACAGAGACGATGATGATAGCTACAACTGACGCCATGGAAACATTTAAAAATGTATTAAATTGACTTATTCAAGAATTCATAGGAAAACAAATAGAAGATAAAACATATCAAGAAGCTTTTCAATTAGAATCATTATGACATCTAACAAATTTACGAATTTGTAACATGTGTTATTTAGACCCATTTATATGCGAATATTCTGAACATTATTATAATCTGGATTTTACTAGAAAAAAGATAGCATTAGACATGTTTTACCAAAAATTACCATCATTAGTAAGTCAAAGTGTAATAAAAGATTTCCAAGAAGCATTACAACAAAATAAGATTGCAGATACCTTAGGAGCAAGGATAAGTATATTAAAAGCATGGATGCAGAAAAAATGTTTAGAACAAAAAACAACACAAGATGCAAGAATTGATTTATGTTGCGATACCCTATCTAATAAAGTTAATCAATATGGTTGTAAAGATAATAAAAAAACAAAAATATAAAAAGAAAATTTGGAAAAAACAAACCTATAAACCTAAATATAAACAATATTATAAACAAGGAGAAAGAAAATATTTTCAAGACAGAAAACAATATAGGAAAAAATATCAATCTAACACAAATTACTGTCCATCTAACAAAAAAGATTGTAAATGTTGGATATGTCAAGAAGACGGACACAAAGCCTACGAATGTCCCAAAAAGACTAAAAAGGAAAAAGAAACAAACTTACTAAAAATTTCATATGATCTTGGCTATGAACCTATAGAAGATTCAGGGATAGATTCAGATATAGATATTTATGCATATACAACTGATACTGATTCCGATTCAGGTAAATAGTCATATGAAGGAAGCATTATTGGGTTTAGAACATGAGGGAAACCTTATATCTAACCTATCTAAAGTATACATTGCTAAAGCATACATTGGTATGAAAATACCATCCGAAGTAAACAATGATAAAGTATACAGTGATATGAAAATATCACCAAAGCATACATTGATATGAAAATTCTCATATCATCATTTAAAATATTAAAAGCAAACATCATTCAGCAATCATTCAGGTACCCAAAAGGCGCAAATATTCATTCATTGGAATGGAAGCTATCATGAAGTAAGTCAAACACCAGCTCAAACAAAAAGAGGAGCAAGAGACATCATTAATCAGACAGCTTGAAGTAATCAAATGAGAAAAAGAGCAACTACTACAAACAATACAAATTCTATCATCCTGTTCAGCATCCAAAGAAGAAGCAGCCAGCAGTTCAACAACAAAGCAACCAAAAGAAGAAGTTCAAGAAATATCATCCGATGAAAGCCAACAAACCATAACACCAAACCATGAGGAATATCCACCACTACAAACAGATAAAAAAAATGGTATGTAATTTTCAACAAAGAAAACAAAGGAGTATATGACGACTGGGGAATCGCCAGTTCATATATTCTTGGAAAAAATATCATTCACAAAAGCTACAGAACGAAAAATAAAGCAGAAACCGCATACAACGAAGCATACAAAGCAGTAATAAAAAGATAACGTCGAATGTTCAAAAACAGTTCTCCTAACACCACAAAAACCTATATCTAGTTTCACACCACAAAAACCCGTATCCATCCCAAGATCCCTTAACCAGTTAAATGCAAAAATTTCCCTTGAATCCATTCTATCAACAAAAGAAAAAGAAGCCATGAAAAAACCATCTGCCAAAAAATTTGCTTGGGACAGCCTTATTTCATACACCGAGGTCCATTCTTTGATGGGCTTTTACCCAGTAGCCAGACGCCCAGGTCCTAAAGCAATCTTCTTAGCCGACCTATCAGATCCTATGACTTTATGGGATTACTTTATTCATGGATTCATCGACACCATCTATTTAGAAGGCACCAATTTACACTGCATCAGTGAGTTCCCTTCTGCTGTGCAAACCATCATCAGAAATTATAAAGTACGATTTGCAAAACAGGAAAGAGGATTATTCATTAAAATGCACTCTAGCTACCCAATTTTTGATGAAGACTCTCAACTAATTGTCCCAAGTATTACTTTCGCAAATATGGGAATAAGCAATGGCTCAAAACCAACAAAAGATGATCTACCACGAGAATCACCAACACAGGATCACTTAATCTTCGCACTCGCCGGTGTCTATTTAGCATCGTCACGCATAGGCAACGGTAAAGATCAGAAGTCAAGAATTAGAGTGAACTACGCCAGTAAAACCTTCATTATCTATTCGTTAACAGATAGTGAAATCACTCCGGAAGCAATGAAAGCAATCGAAACTTTCGAACAACCTTTCGAAAAGTTTTCTCATCAATTAGCTGAATTACCTGCTGATATCAAAAAACAACTTTGTAAACATATTATGCATGCACCAAGACACAATTGCAGTCACTGTTCAGAAAACACAGAAGAAACACCATTCATGGAAGATTAACGATGAAATAAAGCATTATTCAAAAATATGTCTTTTCGGAGGCGCGAGGAATAACCATTATTGAAGACACCTGTTCTTTCAATGGGGAAGGGATTATTATATTTATATAAAAGTGTCGGTAGAATAGTTAAGAGTGTTATTTTATAAAAGTGTCGGTTGTATTATTTGTGATGTAACATAAGGTGTGTAACCCTTAATAGTATAGGGGGCTAAAATGTAAATATATGTGTCGTTTTGCAATCAAACGATTGCAAACCAATTATGTAACCGGCTCCTTCGAGCCTATGAATAGGGCCTTTGCCCAAATGAAATAAACAAGCTAAGTTTGAGTGTTTAAGACATGAGTTGATCTCAATTGTCTTCTCTGTTGAAATAGTTGTTCTATTTCTGAATAGCAGAGTCTTATCTAAACATATCCATATAACCATTTAATCATTCAACACAATCCAGCATCAAACTAATCCAACGCATCATTCAGGTATAATCTTTTCTTAATCTTAATTAATCCGTCATCATGTTCAATTTGGTATCAGAGCAATTAATCCATCATCATGTCATGTTCAATTTGGTATCAGAGCAATTAATCCATCTTGATTTTTTTTTGTTACAAATAGCATCTATACATTAATTTTATACATATTAGACCCAAAAATAAAAAATTTTGCTCACCGATTTTTATACATATTATATTTTCACACTACAACAATCGGACCCTATGACGACAACAAATTCGGACCCTATCCAGACGACAAGTCGTCGATATAGGGTATGGCGACGACAAGTCGTCGGCAAAGGGTTGTCGGCACAGGAGTGTCGGCATGGGCGCCGATGAAGGAGATAACCTAGAACGATGGGCGCTGGTGAACAACTCGCGGTGGGGAAGCTTCAGGCAGCGAAAGACATAAATATTCAACGAAATAAATATTCAGGTGGGTGCTTCACCACCGGTGAAAACCTCTAAACACCAAAAAAAAAAACCAAAATTCGGGGTAAAAATCATTAGCAGACATAAATATTCAACGAAATAGGAGTAGAAATTGTTTACCTGGGGCTAATCGCCGGCTAGTGTCGTTGGAATCAGATTTTCGTCGGAGAGAAAGAAGGTTGTTGCGTCGCTATGCAAATGAATGAAGGCTGCACCATTCTTTAGAGTAAACCCCTATGCCGACGACATGTCGTTGGTATAGGGTCAAATAAACGATGCCGTTTTAATTTTTTGCTGAAACAAAAAAATTAAAAATTAAAAATCTATGGCGACGACATGTCTTCGGGATAGCCCTGTGATGCGGATCGCCACATGTCATGCCGACGACAAGTCGTCGGTATAGCATACACAAAACTACGTAGTTTTGTTTTTCTGGCATATGGATCAAAAATAAATGGAAAATATATTTTTTGATACTTATACCGACGACATGTCGTCGGTATAGAATTTCAGAATACCGTCAATATTTTCGTCATTCCCGCCATACTTTTGCTGATGACCTGTCGTCGAAACAGAGGTCCTGGTCAAAGTAAATTGGTCAAAGTTCGCAAAAGGTATGTCGACAACTTGTCGTCGGGATAGGGATACTTTTAGCGACGACAATTGTCGTCGGGATAAGTGTCGTCTGTAAAGTCCGTATCCTTGTAGTGTCAGCCCCCAAATAATATGTTGAAGCTCCGTACCTGAATATATATATATATATATATATATATATATATATATATATATATATATATATATATATATATTATATATATATATATATATAATATATATATATATATATATATATATATATATATATATATATATAAAAGATTGTCTTTCCCAAAAATGATTGGTGAAAAGAATATCAACTCCAACATATATAGAAACATGTATGATTGTATTAGTCCGACCAATAGATTAAACTCAAATGTTTTCTACTTCGAAAATCTACATGCAAATATTTTAATGACTTTATGTTAAACTAAATCAATATTAACAAAACAAAATAATGACCATGAACCAAAAGGCTAATAAATAAAAATGCATGCATCACTTTTTGTTGTTTATTGCTTAAAATATATTGTATTTATATTTTTATACAAAGTTTTCTTTATCTTAATATAATTGAATCATCACATTTACTAAGGTGCTGTTTGTTTTTTCTGAGATAAAATGTCTGCAGTTTGCGGATCATATCTTTAGACCTCTGCAGTAGAAGAGGTGAACCAAACGTCTGCAGTCTGAAAAAAAAAGATTGTTTGTTTTTTTAACATCTGCAGACTACTAAAATAAATTGAAATCTAAATAAACTGATTTTTTTAAACTTCAAAGTGATTTTTTAAATATTTTTATAACTTTGTTATAAATAATTAACGAATCTAGATCACTTTTATGTATTATTGTATAAAAAATAAAAATAAAAATGGTATGAATTAACGTACATATTTGATAAAAACCAACAACTTTGGTTGCAAAGTTATAACTAAATATTATAATTAGTGATCAAAGAATTTGATACATAAATTGATGGAAATAAACTTCGATTTTTTCAATTAAATCAACTAAAAACGTTTCATAAACATTTTTTTGAGAAATTGACGATACTGTATTAAATAATGTTGTACAAAATTTGAAAAAAAAAATATAAAAATATATTATGATTTTTTTTTTTCATATTTATATAAACAACTTCAACGACTATTATTATAATAAATCTTTATTCATAAATTTGTCAAAAATATTATGTTTGTATCGTCGAACTTTTTTTTAAGTTTTTTAAAATTGTTTATCATTAATAAAGTTGGAAAAAATATAAATTAAAAAAAACTTAAAAAAATAAAGATATATATGTTTTTTAGGCTGGAAGATGTTTGAAGATGTTAGAAGACTCTGGTCCACGTCTGCGAAGGCTAACGTCTGCGCGTGGTCTGCGCGGCGCTGACATAAGAGGTTATGCAGATCTGCAAACAAAAAACAAACACTATCTAAGTGCGACATATATAGATAAATAAGAGATTAAAGATTTTGTTGCAGCACTAATGTAAGCCACACTAACATTCATTTTAGAAATGGAACTGATGAGGATAAAGAAAGGTGCGTTAAGAAATAGGGAGTCAATAGACAAAAATGTGTTAAGTAACAAGGATGCAAACACGATATCCACTTTGATATCTTCTTAAATATATATGCAATCAAATATCGTCTCTCCTAAAGATCAATTATAAAGAAAATGTAGAATTCAACATATATAAAGAGACCTGAAATACACTAATAGATTAAACTCAAATGTCATCTTATAGGCAACATTTCAACGAATTTATATCAACTTAAATCAATATTAACATAACAAAACAATGATCTTGAAACTAAAGGCTAATAAATAAAAAACATGCAAATCACTTTTTGTTGATTATTTCTTAAAAGATATCTAATGTCTTTTCATAGAAAGTTTTTACTATATCTTAATATAATTGACCTTTGACTAACCATCAATCACCACAGTTACATTTGATTCCATCCCGTTATTTCAAGTATATACAACTATATAAAGACACTAAAAGACTTAAAGCATCATTCTTACGTAACATAAATTGGTACGACTATTGGTATGTTGTGTCGGATCCATGGCTAGGGTTTTCCAACACTGTCTTCATCCATAACATTTGGCTCCTTTTCATATTGATGATGTGCCATGTCATAAGTGGCATGAAGACCAAATAACACATAATATATCAACATAATCACCGTACAAATTCCAAACCTTATAAACGCCATATACTCCAGTGATCCCATCAAAAACAAATTTGTTGCAATCGAAAGTGCAGGGATCCAAGGAACCAAAGGCACTCCCCAAACTTTTGGGATCCGTTGCTGTGTCAACATCAACGAGATCCCTAGCGTCCCCAAGAACCATAAAGGGACAGTAACGGTGTAACCCACCCAACCACTAGGGTCCAACCCCCAACAAGCCGAAGTCCCTATGGAAGATCCAATTATGATCACCAAAAACCCTACTAATTTCAATAAACTCGAACGTGGTGTCACCCCTTTTACATAGTACCTCCTCACGATAATTGCAACCGCCATCATCATGAAAACAAAGAGTGTGCTTATGGATAGTAAACTTGCCAATACATCTAAACTTGAAAAGAAAGCAATACAAGCACTACAAATGGTGATTAATAAGGTAGCGTTTATTGGAGTTTTTGTTTTAGGGTGGACTAGAGCGAACCATGGTGGGATCATGTGGGCTCGTGCAATATGAGTTATATAACGAGCTTGACCAAGTGCACCAACCAATAGAACCGTGGTCATACCCTTGAGCGCACCTAGAGCCACCAAATACTTAGCCCACTTCATGCCAACTTTTTCAAATGCAACCGAGTAGGCAGCGTTAGGATCAATATCCGTATATTTCTGCATCATGGATAACGAAAGCGCCATAAGGCAATAAATTATAGTGATGATCGACATAGAACCGAGTAATCCCAGAGGTATGTCCCTTGATGGGTTCTTTGTTTCTTCCGCCATGGTTGCGATTGTATCAAATCCTCCGTAAGCGAAGTATACAATAGCTGCAGCTCTAAAGACACCTTCGGCGCCATGAGGTGCAAAAGGTTTCATGTTTGAAGTGTCCGCATGCATAAACCCTGCGATGATGACGAAGAGGATGACGATGGTGTTGATTGCCGATGCAATCCAGTTAAGTCTCGAAGTGTTTCTTGTGCTACTCACTGCAATGATGGCAGCGATTGTTAGCACGCAAACTGCTATTGGATCCAAGAGGTTGTATCCTTCTGCGAGATTTGTATGTATTCGTAAAGAGTTTGATTCACGGTTGAGAAGACTGGTGAAGTACGACGTCCATGATCGAGCAACCGCTGCACCACCCAGAATGCATTCAAGAAGGATGTTTCCGGCGGTGATGAACGCCGCGAAGTCTCCTAGTTCTACTCTGAGGTATGCAAACGAACCACCGGCCACCGGAATCTCTATAGCGAACTCTGTATAGCAGAAGACAGAAAGCATAGCCGAGAGTCCAGAAGCTAAGTAAGATAAGACAATAGCTGATCCAGCGTTGTCATGGGCTTCCTGTCCGGTGAGAACAAAGATTCCGGCACCGATGACTGCACCAAAACCGAACCACATCAAATCCCACCAGTTGAGGCAGCGCTTCATTTCGTTCTCACTCTGCTTTTTTAGCTTCTCAATCTCGTCGGAATCTTCAGAGCGGCTGAGGAGACGATCTTTGAACCTGGAATAGGTGTGGGACAAGGCGTATCTGTAGGTGCTCCAGTCCCGGAAAGATTCCTCCGGGAAGAAATCTTCTTTGCTCCATCTCCAGTAGGATTGTGGATGACTTTGTTGATCATTCATACTTTGTAATGAAGCAATTTTTGATTGTAATCGGGTTCTTGGATCTTTCAATCTTTATGCAATCCGTTTCCAATTTTCCATGTTACATTTATTGGTTTTTGTTTGGTAGTGTCGTGATGGGCATTTGCCGGCACTGCAATGTTGACTTACAAGAACATCGGTTTCACGTGGTCCCTTTGGGTTCATAAATGGATGTGACAATAGTATATTTTGAACATGTTAATCGGTGTCAAATATTGAACAAAACAAAAATAAAATAAATACTCCATATGGATTATATTTCGTAATTAATGAGAAAGAGAAATAAAATAGTATTAAATTATTCAAAAGCTCTATTCGTTAAGATTTAAGAACAGCTATTAAACGAAAAAAGAAAACTATAGTTCTTTTTTTTACTAAGCTTAACATGAAAAAAGGAGAACAAGAAATATAGAAAAAAACTGTGAAAGGTTATTTACAATTTGACCGATTTGTCCCTTGAAAATTTTTGTGCGTAATACATGACCAAACTGTTAACTATTGATGTAATTTATTCACGAATATAATAAACACAGAACAATCTTATTACTCCATCGAGTATATATTATATTTTAAGGGTGGAAAGTCCCAAAGTGCCGTTTATGCTACCTGTTTTGTCTAGTATGATTATTTTATGTTGTTTAAATTTAATAAAAAAATGGTAACGGTACATCAATGGCATGCAACGGTCAATCATACATCAAGAAATATTAAGATTTATCGTTCGAGCATTTTCGACCTATCTTTATATCCTCATTCCAATTCGACCAATCTTTATATCCTCATTCCAATTTTCATTGTATATGTCTTCAACCTAACCTAAACCTACTCTCTTTTTATTTCATTTTGTTCCAACTATATGGTAATGCTATTCATTTGCACAGAGTTACTACCTCGATTTTGAAAGTCTATACGAAAAACAAAATAAGCAACGAATATATGTTTTTTATATATCGGATTATGGCAAAATACCATTTTATTTGTTATGTTTTATTAATTTTTTCAACTTATATTTTATTCAAACAAATGACATAAATATATGGGGAACCATCAATGGAAAATGGACTAATATCACTAAAGTCTCATATTTTTACATTAAATTAGGAAAAGCCATGAATTTAATTTTTAGAAATTAAATAGTTTCATATTTTTTGTTCCTACAATCATCCTACTCATTTAAGATTGTGACAAGTGTCATTAAATTTAATTTAAATTTGATTGAGATTTTAAATTTATACACTTGTCATCACCTTAAATAGATAGAAATAAAAGTAGGAACAAAATATAGGAGGATATTTAATTTCTCTTTAATTTTTTTGTTTACTGTGGATACGATATTTTCGTGGAATTATGGCAAAAGGGCAAAGTGTCGGTTTTAGCAGGTTACAAAGCTTAGTCGAACGTTGTAGGTAGTTGTTAGCTAGGTTTTGTTGCATTCTTCTCTCCAACATCAAACCAAAAAGATGGTAAGCTCCTCCAACACGCACACACAAGGGTACAGAGAATGGGCTTTAAGGAATCGTCGATCTGAAGATTTGAGATGCAGGTGTGATGAATCTACGACATTCTCGATCTCCAAAACTGTCGATAATTCATGGAGGAAATTCAGGGGGTGTCCAAACTATCGGGGATGATTAAGTTTCCTACTTTTTGTGGTCTTGTTGAACCAGTATGAATAAGTGGTTGTTGTGTAGGACTCCAAAAAAATGCGATTTTTTTATGGCTTGATCCACCACTACCAAACACTTACTACAAGGAAACTATGTGGAAGTTTCATATAGATTTGGAGGAGGCTAAGAACAATAAAACATTTGGAATGGAGATTTTGAAGCTTTCGGAGAAGGCCAAGAACAACAAAGCAGTTCAAGTGGATATTTTAAACCTGTTGAAGGTAGAGCTACTTATGATGGTCATGCTTTTGGTAGTGGTGATTGTGACAGGCTTTATGGTTCACAATGTTGTGGTTAAAGCACTGTGAAGTTGTGGGCATTAGTTAGGTTCAGGTGGAATGGTAGTAGTAGTTTATGTGTAAGGGTATTTTGGTCAAGTTAGGCAATAAGTTGATGCATGTGTTATGTATGGTAATATTTTGGTTCTGTAACAGATGACAAGGATAACAACTTATTTTGTGTTAATGATAACAATGTATTAAGTCCTTTAACACATACATACACACACACACACACATATATATATATATATATATATAACAAAATCTTGAAAATTTAATAGCAACCTACTTACCAAACTAACTAAAACATGGAAGGTAACAACAATTATAATGATCAAGGCATATATATATTGATAACTTAACAATCATACCATGTCGTTTACAAAGCTTTCCAAATATCAATTTTAGTTAATAGCCCAAAAAGGGGAATGTACTTTACAAAGCTTCCCACAAACCACTACCATACCATGTAACCTAATTAGAACCAAACTTCCAATTCTAGCAAACATTATGGAAATGAATTGGAAGCTTGTTACCAAAAGATAAGTGTACCAAAAGTAGATGTTTACAAAAAGGGTAACCTATTTACTAATACCCATTCTACCTATTCAACCCTTAAACATAACATCTTAATCTAAAACCCAAGGGGATTTGGAAGAACTACCACCATCAGCATCTTCAACCATTTTCCTGAGCTTCAGTTTCCTAATTCTTTCAGAGGGAGTCCTCTTTTTCTCCCGATGGAAATTATAAGAACCAGGACCCAAGGGTATCATTCTTGCTCTAACCTCTCTCTCTTCAACTTCTTCTTCCCTAACCTCTATGCCTTCAACTTCTTCTTCCTTAACATATCTGCCTTCAACTTCTTCTTCCTCAACATATTTGCCTTTAACTTCTTCTTCTTCAACCTCTCTAACTTCAACTTCTTCTTCTAGAACATATCTTTCTTTAATCTCTTTTTCCTGAACATCTCTTTTCTGAACATCTCTTGCATCAACATGTGTTTCCTTAACTTCTCCATAAACCTAGAATATCGAAGGCTAGTTAGTAAAGATACAATATGAAAGCCAAAAATAATGTAACAACACATACCTCTTCCATACTAGCCACTGAATCTGCATGTGTATATCCAGACAACAACAACTTCTTTAAAGTAACCCTTTCATTCACCTTCACCTCATTGTTATTCTCTTGTTCCTAAACATCCTCCTTTGATTGACTCATAGGTTACTTACCATTACGTGTTTGGGTAAAAAGATCAATAAAATCCTCATCACGGGTTAGGGGCATATCCTCTTTTTCTTGACTCTTATGTTGCTTACCATTAGGTGTTTTCTATGGTGTTTTGTTTCTTGATCCAGAAACTTTAGTTTTCCCTCCTCTCCATGTCATCATCTTAGTCCTTTTCATAGGACTAACAGCAGGACCACCATCTTCATCACTAATTTCTAAAATTATAGGAGGAACAACATCCCTTCTTGGTATAGCAGGCCCAACTGGAGGAAATTGATCAAAGATAGGTTGGCCTCCCCCATCTTTCCTAGGTCTTTCAATCTTCCTTTTTGGGACACGTGGCTTAGGTACCTTATCATTTTTGCATGAAATCTTATTATGCCCAAGCTGTTGGCACTTTCCACATCTCACAGTCCTAGGAACCTTTAACCTTTGGGAGGGGTGTTTGGCATCTTGTGATTCAGATGCATGCTTCACTTTATTTAGTTTGGGTCTTCCAAACATCCTTCTAACTGGGGCTGGTAATGGTTTAATAAAGTCAGCCCTTGGCCACAAGTTGCCTCCACCTACAGGTTGTATGTTCTGACTGTAGGTTGCAATATATTTGTCCTTATGGAACCAAGAAGAAAGGAATTGACTTGGATCTTTGTAGATATAGTTGATTGGAGCTTTACTATGCACACATGGTATGCCAGACAACATTCACAAGTTTCAGGTGCAAGTGTAAGTAGCTACATCAACCTTATATCCATTGTAGCCATACCTAGTCTCAAAAATATCACCACCACTTGGCACTATTGTCCACAACCTACACACAAAACAAAGAAAGTATACACATAAACAATAAATACATAATATAGTTGGATACATGCCCATAAAAACTTATATTAACTCATATCTTTCCCAAATTCATCAATCTTCAATTGTATGTTAGGCCCACAATTATCCCTACATTTGGCTACCTCTTGACCTTGATGAAAAAGCCTTTTCATAAGGAGAATCCTTATTTCCTCAAGTATTGTAAGTAGACACTTTTTCCTTATTTCTTGGATCATACCATTGAAACACTCTGTAACCCCATTCTTTACTACTTCACAAGCATACCCACGATAAAAGAAGGCTCTACACCAGGTTTCAGGTTTCCTTGCCATAAGATATATCACACCCCAAAACCGAGAACGGCGGAATACATTCTGGGGTGGAGGACGTTGTGTACTTTATCATTACAATTGCATAATAGTAAAAACAAGAAACAACAACCATTTCATTTATATAGTGATAATAATTACAATTGTGTTCTGCACAGTTAATAGACACCAAAAGTATAACAAAAATAAAAGATGACTCTTGTATATGCTCCATCTTCTCTAAAAGCTGCCCCAGTACCTGTCTATCGTTGACCTGAGGATACAAGTTATTTTGAAAACGAGTATCAGCATAAAGCTGGTGAGTTCATAAGAATTTAGTGTCGTTGTATAAAACTGTTTGCAAACTTATAGTATAAGAGTTAAAATTTGTATTTATGAGTAGTAGAAATCCCTAGAAAATCCTATATTTTCCAGAAAAGTACATTTGTAAGTCAAACCTTTGAGTGTGTAAAAGTACTATCTTTGAAACCTTCAATTGTAAAAGTGTAGTAATAAATCTCATGTGAGTAATATGGCTGAAGAAAGGTTATGCCTGTTAACAGTAGTAGTGTTGTAACTTTAATTAGAAATAGATCTTTAATTACTTCGGGATATTAGCTTAGACTTTTAGTCTTAGTGTATTTATTTCGGTATAAGTGTAACTTCTCATGTGACCAACTGTAAAGTAGTAGAGTGCCTGATGACCTTCCTAGTTATGCGTGGTGAAGTAATGTAGTGCCACCCCTGGGCCTAGTCGGCTCGAACTATAGTTAACAGTCGGTATGTAATAGCATCAGTTCCATATAGATCTATACATGTAGTGTTGCTTTCCTTCCGGGAAGCCTTGGTCACATGGTGTAAGTGCAGTAGAGTGCCTTATAGAGAGATAGTGTATTATACTTGGTATTAGTGAATTCTCTTATGCTTTGGTATGGTAGACTTTTAGTATAGTAAATAGAATGTTCTCTTATTTTTGCATTAACTTGTAATATTAACAGTTATAGTACGTATAGTAGTAGTAGAAGTAATGAGCAGTAGCCTTAACTATACCTACTATAGCTAACTAGAGTATGTGAATTCCTGCTTCTGATCAACAAAAGTAATGAATAAGATGAAAACATTCATATCTAACACAAATATATATATATATATATATATATATATATATATATATATATATATATATATATATGATATATAATTAAGAATTCAACGACAGTCGGACGGAAAACCAATACCCTAAGACCACATCAAACAAGAACAGGAAATAAGGCAAGTTATCGGTCCTAAGTCCTTCAAGTCTTACTTATATAAATATATTAGTGTAGATATATTTTTAAAAAGGAAAGTAGTTGAAACATAGTTTTGAAAATAGTTTAACAACAATTTAACCTTAAAAGCGCATTTGATAATTAGTTAAAACAGTTTTATTGATAAGTACTTAAAAGTGTAGAGAAATCTCTTTTCGATGAAATATTGTAAATCACATATGATTTTCTAATAAAAACTTGTGGTATTATACTTGTATCCCCCCCCCCCCCTAAAACATGTAAAAACATTTAAAAGGTTCATTAAGGGGGATGAACTCACCGAACTAGAAATGTGTTGACTAGGATGCTAAACGTCGGATCGAGGCTTGAAAACGTGCGAGGTTCCTATGTAATATTAAATGATACACAATTGTATCTAATTATATTTAAATCTCTAATTAATAGAGGATATACACTTCTAGTCGTGAAAACCATTCAATTCAAGTGTTTGGAGTGACCCGGGTGACATTTATGGGCATGTATGGCTTGTGTATGGAGTTTACTCTTCAAGAGTAAACTCTTAGAAGAGTTTTCGGCCCTAAAAACCACATCCCCACGAGTTTACGTCCGTAAACTCATGGATGGTGTTCTTAGGTTTTAAATGGTCTTATATCATTTAAGGGGTGATGCTAGGTTTGGTTCTAGGGCATTAGAAAGGGACTAAATCAAACATATGGACCATTTGATGAGTTTACGACAATAAACTATGATTTTACGGCTGTAAACTCTCACCTACTCATTTCTTATGTGTTTTGAAGGTCATAGGTTAATCATAAGTGATTCTGCTCATTTTTACAAGCCAAGGGGTGAATTTAGGGCACCAATTAACCCCTTTATAGGAGTTTACGGACCAGGAACCCATTCTTGAGGGGTTTACGGTCGTGAAATCCTTATGGAGTTGTTTTTATCAAGTTTAAGGTCCCTAACTTGTTTGTGGTTGCTTCTAGACTTTATTCCAAGGCTTATGAGGTGTGTAAGTGGCATTTTAACACCCAAAAAGGAGTTTACTACCCATGAAAGGGTGTTTATGGCCCAAGCATGTTATTGGGAAGTTAACTCATGTTTAGTCCCCAAATTTCAAGTTTAAGGTGTTCTAAGTCCAGTCCAATAAGTCCTTAAGCCATATCTAAGCTCCAATGGTGGTTTGGAAGGGTTTTAAGGCTCAAAAATCCCTTTTATATGTGTTCACGGACCAAGAGTGGTCCAGGGCTGTAAACACATGTTTATGGTCCTAAAACATGATTTGAACACGAAAATGAAGGCTAAGGATGTTATACTAGAAGCTAGGATAGTTACCTTGGTGATTTGAAGCTTGAAATAAGTGATTTTTAGACCTAGATCTTGGATTGAGGAGAGAGGTTAGAGAGAGAGAGTGAAAAAGTTTTCAAATGAGGCTTGAACCACTTTAAATATGGTTTGAAGTTGAGACACGGTGGAATTCTACCCGATACTGATGTTAACTGAGGCTTTTGGTCGCACCCGATTAAGTTGTCGTCACCCGATATGGTCGAAACTAAAATTTTTGTAATTACTAGTTTGAGACGTTTTCATGTGTTTCTAACATGTTTGGATACTTAAAAGGTCAAAATAAAAGTCTTCATTTAATTGACCTGATCCAAAAACGAAAACGGAATAATTCGCTTAAGACGAGTTTTATGGACGGAACGGGTTGTGGCGATGGAACAACTTCGGGTTGTCACAAGATAGGTGTAGCATGTTTCTATTATCTTCGTTATCTTATCCATTGTAGCAAGAAAGTCCCCTTCCACTATACTCATTGCAGCTTCCCAGAACAAATTCTTTAGCTCTAATCTTGTGAATTTCTTCCTAAAGTTTGCAAAGGTGTGTCTAGCATATTATCTATGCTCAACATTGGGGAGTAGATTTGCCACAGCCTGTAGAAGTCCCTATAATTAACAAACAAACACAGTACATGTAAAAATTAATGTGTGTTACATATAAATATATATTGTATACTAATATATGTTATTGGTACCTTGTGTTGGTCTGAGATAACAACCCGTCCATTGTCAGCACCAAGATCCAAATCAACAACCAAATTCTCAATGAACTAGGTCCATTTGTCCTTAGTCTCAACATTCACAAATTGCTCATGCTATTGGGTAGACATGGTTGTCTGCATCCCTCCCAATAGTAGTTAAAATATCCCCCCTTTACATGTCCCTTCAAGAAACTACCATTTAGTCCTATTAGACTTTTACATCCTCTGTTCCATCCATCTCTGAAAGCCTTGAAGCCAACATAAAACCTTTTGAAATAGTTACACCCTAAATTACTTTCTACTCCCATCAAGCAAATTGTACCCGGATTACTCAACCTAATTGCAGTTGCATAGTCCTAAACACTGGCATAGTGGTATTCTAACTTCCATTCTATCATCCCCATTGTAGTAGCCCTTGCTCTTTGGCATTGCCCAACAGATACACTAACTGAAAACCTTTATAGCACATCTGATTGCATCTCTAGCAATGTCATCTTGGGCTTCATGATTGCATCTTTCAGGTAGTGTTTGGCTAACCAATTGCTAGTCACTAGGGAACCAAAATGATAATTCCTAGCAAACAGATGAATTTCATTACAAAATTTAATCTGGAATGTC